AGATGGAGGAAAGAACATTTTTTCTGGTTTGATGGCCTCAGTTTCCTGCAAAAAAAAGTCAATTTTAACATATTTATAGCACTCATACATCAAAACTCCAATTTATATTCCTAACATTTTCAGTATTACCTAGTATTCCTATGTTTTCCTAGTTTTACCGAATAATCTCATAGTCTTACCATGTTTACTTAGTATTACATACACTATTACTCAATATTCTTTTGTTAATTTGTTACCTCTCCATGCTCTGATACTGCTGAAGTCTGGGCCTCCGCGGTCACTTCTGTTGTTTGCTGAATATTGTTTGCTACATCCTTTTCTCTTGCTTCCTCCTCTGATTCGCTTTCCTCCTCTGATTCGCCTTCTTCTTCTTGCTCTTCTACTTCCTGACGGACTTCTTCTTGTCCTTCTTCACCATCTTCTTCTTCACCATCTTCTTCTTCACCATCTTCATTTGAGATAGTCGCTTCAGAGGATTCTTCATTATCGTTCTGGGAAAGTTCCGATTGAGCTCCACTTCCAGTCGCAGAATCTACAAGAACATTTAACCCCGTCTCCTCCGGAGCCGTCGCATTCTCCGGAGCCGTCGCATTCTCCGGAGCCGTCGCATTCTCCAGAGCCGTCGCATTCTCCGGAGCCGTCGCATTCTCCGGAGCCGTCGATGAGGGTGGAGAGGTCGTCCTTACAAACTTCACTTTTAAACCCTTCGTTTTCACCTTCTTCACAGCTTTTGGCTTTTCCTCTTCCTTCGTTTGTTTCTCTTCGTCAGTTTGTTTTCGCTTACCCAACCTTGTTTCTACCATCTTTGACAGATCGAGGCAATTCCTCCGGTGATTCGATTGAGTGGAGTTAGTGAATGATGAGTTCGTCGTTCGTCGATTTTGAAAGAGAGAAATGAGATAGAGAGGAACTCGATTTGGTTTGGTTTGAGAATAGAAACTAGGGTTTTCTGTTTTAATTTTAAAATTTGGTTGGATGGGTTTTCCAAAACCGACATATTTGGTTTGGAAAGTTTGGTTAGACTGGTTAAATGGTTAGACCATTTCGGTTTGATTGAATTCCCAATTTTGCCGGGTCGGGTGGATTATACCCAGGTATAAATTGTAAATATCTCAACTGGTCACGGTTTTTGTGTCATTTACATATTTTCCGAATTTAAAATAATTAATTTTATTTTCTGTTTTTAGATGGGTCTTAGGGAGATTGAGTATTGAGATTTGGGGGCTCTAGAGGAGTTGCCTCTCTTGTTTCTCTATATGTTGAAAATGAGAACACAAATGTTGTTTTATAGCTTTCAAAGTCTGTAACATACACTGTGCCATATGGAGCATTCAATAACGTATTGATTGCCATTAAGGTGAGTTATTCCTTTGACCAATCAATGACTACGTTATTTTTCAAAACTCATTTTGGGATCAAATTCTCTAGTGACACAAGTGAATTTATTTTTTTCTCTCGTGACCCCATCACAATTTCTTTTTATTAATCATTTAAATTTAAATACAAAAGAGGTATAAATAACTAAAAAACCAGAAGACTTTAAAGTATTTACGATCCGTGCCACTACTATCCTACCCGATCCGACTCTTAACCCAACCCGACTTGAACCCTAGATCTACATTTCGAAACAGAACTTCCCCACTCACCCTACTTACGATTTTGATCTTGTAAAATCGCCCTTAAAGCTCCAAAAATGGCATCTAAACAACAATTGACAGAAATAAAGAAGAAGAAAACTCTACCAAAGAAGAAACAGAACGCTCCACCGGTGAAGAAGAAAAGGTCGTCTCCAGCAGAGGAACACGCAGCAGACGACGGTGGATCGTCGTCTCAGCCTAATAAGCGGCCCCGCCGTTCTTCAAACCCTAATCCTAAAAATCTTCAACAAAATCAGAGAGGAAATCCGAATACTTCTCCTGTTCGGGGCTCTGCCTCTGCATCTCTTACTCCGGCCGCTGCCTCCGCTTCTCCTATTCCGGCCGTTGCCTCCGCTTCTCCACCAGCGAACAGACAAATCTCTCCAAATAGAAACCCACAAGATCATCCCGTTACATCTCTGTCTGTTTCTAATTTCGGGTCTTCCACTAAGGGCGGGACACCTTCTTCTGAACAAGGAGACAATGAGGAAATTGGGGACTCGAGGGAATCGAGGCACGGTGACCCTCGCACATCTGAAGAACCACCTAATGCTACGGAAGAGCAAAGAATGGTAAGAAATAAAACCAAAATTCATTTTTGTAATATGGTACAACTAGGATATATATTGTATATAGTTGAACTAGTAGAACTAGTAGAACTTAAAGGAAGGAAGTTTGACTTGTACAACTGAAATAAGGTTAACTAGTATTACTAAAACAACTATAAAATGTAAAATTGTTTAACTTTGACTTATCTAACTAGTATTACTTGTATCATTCGTACAACTAGAACCTATTAATCTAGTATTACTTGAACAACTGTTAAATAATAACTAGTATTACATGTACAACTGTTAAAGAATAACTAGTATTACTTGTATAACTACTGTGTGTATTACTTGTATAACTTGTACTACTAGTATTTATCTAATTATAATTGGAATATGTAAAACATGTATGACTCATACAACTAGGACTTATCTAACTAGTATTACTTGTACAACTACTGTGTGTATTACTTGTATAACTTGTACTACTAGTACATATCTAATTATAATTGGAATATGTAAAACATGTATGACTCATACAACTTGGACTTATCTAACTAGTATTACTTGTACAACTGCTATGTGTATTACTTGTATAACTCGTACAACTAGGACTTATCTAATTTTAATTGGAATATGTAAAACATGTATAACTCATACAACTGGGAGTTATCTAACTTGTATTATCTAACTCATACAACTGTTAAAAAAAACTAGTATTACATGTACAACTGCTTTATACTAGTATAACTCGTACAACTAGGAGTTATCTAATTATAATTGTAATTTGTAAAACATGTATCACTCGTACAACTAGGACTTATCCAACTAGTATTACTTGTAAAATTGTTAAACAATAACTAGTATTACTTGAACAACTGGTATATATATTACTTGTATAACTCGTACAACTACGACTTTTCCGACTAGTATTACTTGTAAAACTGTTAAACAATAACTAGTATTACTTGAACAACTGGTATATATATTACTTGTATTGAACTTGTGCTAATCGTTTAAATGTTTATTTTTTGCAGGGTGAGGAGGCAGGAGGCGCAATGAGACCACAAAAGTTTTACTTCCAACCAGCCGAGTATAGGAAGCCTTGTAAGCTGTCTACAAGGTGTCATCAACGTGGTTTCATCAAGTTGACTAAAAAGTTGGATGCATCAGAGAAGGAGTGGTTTATCGAGCACCCACAGTTCAAGCATCTTTTCCATATGGAGTACTCCTCAACGAGAAAGGTCATGGGATTGTGGATGTTGTTGCTTCGCACCGTAAAAGTCGATAAGAAGAGACAGTGTTGGTTTGTGGTAAACGGTGCGCCCATACGTTACTCTATCAGAGAACACTGCCTCTTATCAGGACTATCTTGCGCCTTATATCCAGAGAACTATGAGAGCCTTGGAAGTTTGAGATTTGCTAAAAAGCACTTTCAGAAAAAACCAAAGAAGAAGGGTGAGCAACCTCCTGAACTAAGAGTGACGCCAGCTGATGTCCTAAAGAAGCTAGAGGGGATGAAGGATGCTGGTAATGGTGAACGGTTGAAGATGGCAGTGCTTTACTTCTTGGCCACAGTCATTAGAGGAAGATCAAGGGCTGGAACCCCTATAGAACATTTTCTTCTTCGAGTAGTTAGTGATCTAGAGCTGTGCGAGACGTTTCCATGGGGGCGTTTCACCTTTGATGACTCTGTAAATGAGATAAAGCATATGGTGAAGCATTTTCGAGGAAAGATCCCAGAACGGAAGTGTACTTGGACATTTCCTGGGTTTATCATTCCATTGGAGGTAATAATTGTTAGAAGAACGCCATATAACATGTATTATTTGTTACTAAAATTTTTTATTCAATTGTTGTGCAGATATTGGCGTTTGAAAGTATTCCTTTGTTGAAGGAACATTTTAGAGAAGATGTTGAAGAATTTGATGAAGGCTGTCCAAGAATGTGCAAGTCGAGGTTCGTTGCAACTGGGTCGACAGGATATGCGTTGGACGTGATATATAAGAAGCTTGGAGAAACAAAGGTGATACATTTGAAGTGTATTTTTGTGAGATTTTGTTGAAGTCTACATATTTAAGTTAATGTGTGATATTTTGGTTGTTCATTTCAGGAAATTTTCAATGTCTTAGAACCAAAAGAATGCGAGTTAGAGCTGTTGTGGGATGTCATGGGTGAAAGGTTATGGGATGACTTTGAGGTGCGAGATGATGAGGATAGGAATGACGCAATTGTCGATGGTTGGAACAAGCTTATTTTCATCGATCGAGTAAAGATTATTTGGGAGGATCTGTACCAGATGGATGCCAAAACTCGAAAGAACGATCTGGAGATACTTTGTGAAGAATCTGAGGGACCGAGGGTGTGCGAGGAAAATGAGGCAGGAGGTGAGAGTTTGGAAACGAGGCTAACAAAACTTATGTATAAAGAGTTGAAGATGAGGGATGACAAAATTGCTGAGTTAGAAAAAAAAATTAAGAGTATGGAAGACGATCGCAATCCGAGCAACATGGATGATTACGTCTTTGGTAGTGATCATTTTGACACCGGTGAACCGTTTGGCAACCTACAAAAGGGTATAAACTTCTATCTTATTGTTTATTTTTGATGGTTTTTTGGTTTATTTATCAAGATTTATTTGATATAATTGAAGTTTCAGAGTCTGAGAAGGCAATGGAGGTTGAGGATGAGCACGAGAAAGAGGGTGAGGATGAGCACGAGAAGGAGGCAATGGAGGTTGTTGCGGGTGAGAACGAGAAGGCAGTGGAAGGAGGCAATGGAGGTAATGTATTATACTTATTTTTTTAATGATTTTATTGTGATTGTGGTTGTGATTTTTTTTGTATATCATAGAGGTTGAAGAGGAATTGCAGTCTACACTTGAAGTAATGGCAGCTGCTGCGGAGAAGGCTGAAGAAGCAATGGCGAATGCAGCCGCGCAAGAGAAAGCTGCAAAAGAAACTGTACAAAAGGAAGGAGATGAGGCTGAGGATGCTGCAAAAGAAGGTGTAGATGATGTGGGTGCCTTGACGAGGCCGAAGAGGGTGTTAAAGCCTTCTCGTTTGAAGAAGTCTCCGTTTGTTGAAAAGTAATATATGTGTTTGTTGTCTTACTTAAAACTTTTAGCTGCTTTTGAATGTTGGTGTTGCATTTGAATGTTGGTGATGCTTTGAAAGTGGACTAATGTTGTTGTTGCTTTTGTTTGTGATTTAGTAGTAATTTAAGTAGTAATTTTTTTTATGCATTTGATTGTGACAGGTTATTAGTATAATTAGTACAACCAGGTTAACTATGGCAAAAATTTCAAATGGGTACAACTAAGACAACTATAGAAATGAAGGCACAACTATGATTGTTAGAACGTACAACTATGATTGTTAGAACGTGCAACACATCTAAAACGTGATAAACAACAAAAACGTGATAAATGTGATAACATGTAGTTGTACTAGTATTTTAGTTGTACAAGATTATAGATAGTTGTACTGGGTTTGGAGTTGTACAAACGTGTACATAGTTGTATTTTGATAGAGAATTTGAAACTTTTAGTTGTACCACTTGGTTAATATATATATTTCAGTTGTACTACTTCCATTTATTTATGTGTCTATGTCCACATATTATGGAACCATTAATTTTGTTAAAATATATTACTTGTACGTTTTTCAAAAATACATTGAGCAAACAAGTAAACAAACCTTAAAAGTATAAGGTAGATAACATAAACTTAAGTGATATTGTAATAATTGCCGAAAAAATCTGATCAAAATTAAAATAAATAGGATTTACCTTTCTAGTGACATTCCAACTTGTTTTATTTATTGTTGTTTTCATATAGAAAGCCAAATGGGAAAAATTAAATATATTAATAAAGAAGTTGTTCCAGTTGTACTGGTATTACAATCTGTAGTTGTACAAGTTTTCGTAGTTATACAAACGATAGTTGTACCAGTATTACTAGTTTTATAAACTCTAGTTGTACCAATTGTACTAAAATTACAACACAGAAACATGACTTGTATGTTATCTGAAGTGTTACTAGTTGAACAAGTTGTACCTGACAGAAACAACACAAAACGAATTTTGTCCATCACAAAGTTTAAAACACATAAGTACCATCTTAAGACATAAATCAGTTTCACAACACATAATACAAGTTTCATAACACACAAGTAGACTCCACAACACATAAGTAAGACTCATTTACCACTTCCCTCATTGTCACTTCCCTCATTGCCACTTCCCTCGTTGTTACTTCCCTCGCTGCTGCTTTCTTCTTCACTTGTTTCTTCGTAATCGATGTCATCGTTTTCTTCTACATCTTCGTCGCTGCTTTGACCAAGCCACTGCGAGAAAGGTGGAAATGTTTTCTTTCTTTTCCTCCGATATTCTCCTGCAGATGGAAATCTAGTAGTTTGTAATCTTCCTTTCTTTTTATCCACAAACGGCGGGAATACAACCTGAGATTGTATTTCCTCAGGAACTTGCCAGGTTGAATGATGAGGCACTGGATATATGGTCCTGGAGTATGCCAATGTCCACTGCTCCATCCAATAATACTTAGAACAATAATTTGGAACCACCTCCTCCAGCGTATCATATGTGGTAGTTTTGCAATGCTTCATGATAGCAGCAAGTGCATGCACACAAGGATACCGGTCAATATCAAATTGCTTACAAGAACATCTTTTGTTGATCAAATCAACCAAATAACCTTTCCCGTCTGTACCAATAACTTTGTACAACCGCTCAAATGTGTTTAGCACATCCACATGGAGTGTTTTCGCAATCGGACAATTGTTATGCAATTCAAGATGCACATGTGGGACAAGTAACTGCGACTGTGGTACCCTTACAGAAACTTGTCGGTATTTATTAGACCATTCTATAATCTTCTTCATGATCTCATCAATCAATGGCAACAATGCATATTTCCTTTGTTCCTTAAAAACACCATTCATAGATTCAACAGTGTTGGTTGTATCTATGTTGTACCTTTCTCCTGGAAATTGACATCTTGCCCATTTGCTCTCATGAACACTTTCGTCTAGATAGTCGGCGGCTTGAGGAAACCTTTTTCTGAAATCATTATATTTTCTTCTAAACTCCGCTTCTGTGTAAATACCAGCCACTTTTCTGAATTTACGGGCAACCAGTTTTTTCCTAACATGACTGCATGCATTTTTCACATTGTTAGACAAGTGATATATGCAATATCCATGGACCGCCAATGGGTAGACCTCATTTACTGTCATAATGATGCTTTCATTTCTATCAGTGCAGAATACTAGCTGAGGATTGTCTGGTATCAAGGTTTTCAATGTAGTCAAAAACCACCTCCAACTAGCTTTTTTCTCACCATCTACTACAGCAAAAGCGAGGGGATAATGATGATGATCTGGATCTTGGGCAGTGGCAATAAGAAGCACTCCTTTATTCACACCCTTCAGATGTGTTCCATCCATAATTATTACTTTCCGCATGGACTTAAACCCTTCGATGCAAGCTCCGATCGCGAAGAACATATACTTAAATTGACTCTTCTCATCCACTACTAAGCGTGTAACAGTGTTAGGATTCAACCTTTCTAACATGTACAAGTAGGATGGCAGTCTAGCAAAACTCTCTGTTGGGTTACCACGCAGATCGTTGACAGCTTTGTTTTTTCCTCTCCAGGCCGTAGAATACGAAACCGTAACACCCAATTTGTTGTGAACCAAATCTATGAGATCTTTTGGTGCTGGAGTCTTGTATTTTCCTGGATAATCAGCTTGCAACACAGATGCGACCATGCTTGCGGTGCCTTTTTTCCCCTTCTTGGTTGCACTTTCAGTTATCCTAGCGCAAGTATGCATCTTCCGATACGTCCTTATAGAGAAATAATCTGAGTTCATCAGTTTTGCAGCTCGTAAATACCATTTGCAGCCAACCCCACGACACTTTAATATGTAAAGTTTAGGCGTCGACTTCACTATATCAACCTCAAAACAATTCTTATGCACAGCCTTGTCCACTAAATCCCTCACGTCATGCTTAGTTTCAAATTCTTGGTTCAAACTCATGTCAATACCATCATCCCACTCCAAATGTACAACTGGTGTAACTGGTGTTTCAACTAGTGTGACAGCCGCCAACTCCTCCATATCATCCCTTTCATCAGCCACTTCATTGACTTTCTCATTCTCATCCTCTTGAATAAGAGGAGTAAGCGTCAACTCCTTAAGACCTACCATATCATCACTAGCTCTTGCATCACTAACACTTTCCTCATTCCTAGAACGCATCTCATTGCTTTGGTTTTCTGAGACATGTTCCATGAGCTCCACATGCAAGACAATACGTCCTTGATTTTTATCGACTTCCAATAAATACCCTACAACATCCTCATCATCCGAGATATAACAAGGCCTCTTATCATCCATTCCCAATGGAACGTAACTCAGTTGAATCCTGGTAGCAGCTACATTAATCTTCATTTTCCTACATATTCTATCAACCAAGTAGGAGTAAGTCACCTCCTCATAGCTTCTCCTCGTAAGCACTAATGTAGAAATATGTCGATCTTTCCGCTTCCATCGAACTTCATCCCCCACATCTGAATAACTACCCCCTTGATCAAAATATATCACCACACGTCCGTTATTATCCATATTTACCTGAAAAGCATAATAAATAACATCACCAATTAATAGTTGTACTGGTTGTACTAGTTATACACGCAGCAGTAATGATATTCGTACTAGTTGTACCAGTTATACATGTTTTCATGTTACACTCAATAAAACAGTTATACTAGTAATTCTGGTTATACTATTTTAATTTGTGATATTAGTTATACCAATAGACCTATTGTATACGTTACTAATAAACTTATCAGTTTTACGAGTTGTACGTTTTGTATGAACCATCTCAGTAACACTAGTTGTACTGGTATACATATTCTACACATATTAATAGTTGTATCACTTTAACTAGTTGTACGTTTTGTATGAATACATATAGTAATACTAGTTGTACAAGTAGACCTATTCGTTATACCATCTTCCTTCCACAGTTTCAGTGATTCTAATGGATATATTGAATTTTAATCTCTCTTATTAACTTAATCACTCTTATTATCCTCATGTCTTTGGTTCTAACATGATTCAAGAGAGAGAGAGAGAGAGAGAGAGAGAGAGAGAGAGAGAGAGAGAGAGAGAGAGAGAGAGAGCATTACCCAAGTTCATCTATGGAGGAAGAACACGAGTTATAGTATATGGTTATGATACTCCTTCTCTAATCTCTGAAAAACAATCTGAAGACAAATAAAATTTGATGAAGAAGAAGTTGTTTGGTGAAGAATTGAAGAGAAGAATTGAAGAAAGAGATGGTTGTTGTCGTGCATTGAAGGGGAGGAGGAGGAAGATATTGTACGTAAAAGAGAGGAGAGAGGAGGCCCAAATCGTGTGGCTTACAAAGCTTTGAGGGTTTTTGATCTAATGGTGTGTGTTATTCACTCATTAATGGCATTGTTGTAATTTCAAGTCCCTTGGGTCATGTAGAATAAAATGGGTTGTAAGAGAAAAGAGAATGAGGGTTGTGTTCCATTTGAGATTAAAGTCCCTCATTTTGTTCAGTTGACCGAATCAAATGCAAAGTTTCTTTTTTCTTTGACGCTGATTGTATTACCTTCAAAAAGAGTACAAAACCTCCAAAACAAGACGCACACCTCAAAAAGGAGGATTGGGAGGGAAGAGAAAAGTAAAAAACAACTACAAAGCAGAGTTTAGGTAATGAAAAGAGCTAGGCTACTGGCTACAAGCAAAATAATGGCTAGTGGCTTTGTATTTTTATATTTAACAAACATAAAAATAATATTAAGAATAAGATTTGTAAATCGAATCTAATCCCACAAAAGTGAACAAATGTATAGTTTTGTAAACTTTTTATATCATTCACGTTGAACTTCCATTGCTCATTTAAACACAACTTCAATTTTTACATGAGGTTACACTATTTCGTAGTCCAACATTCGGTTATTCTAAGGAACGTAATCAGTCCAATATTTGAAAAACATCCAGACATGGCATCAGAATTCAGTTTAGAGAATGAACAGCTTAGAAATGCTTACATGGGCGTTCTTCTAAACCTAATTATGACACTGTGCCAGTCTCCCAAGGAGCTCACAATGGACGATCTAAACAAGGCAGACCGTACGGTTTTGGATCTAACAAAAGCAGGTTTCAAGTTGCATTGGTTGCGTCAGAAACTGGACGAAGCTTTCCAGAAGGAGGAGAAAAAACGGGAGATTAGGGCACAGATCAGATTACTTGAAGAGAAAGCCACGAAGCGGAAGCTGTCTTTGTCTGATTTAGAATCTGATCTGAAGAAACAGAAAGCTGCAGCTTTGGCTGCTGAAACTCTTCCATTTGATTTCAGCGATATTGTTTGATAAAAGGATCTCAGTAATTGAGAATTTAGTTGAAGCACTGTGCTTATTTCTTTAGCTTTTCGTATTTCAATAGTCTGAAAGAGAAAGTGTTTACGTATGAGTCAAGTATCATATATACCATTTTTACAGAATAAATATGAAACAGAATATCTGCTTCTTCAAATTTCATGTATATACAGTTATACACTAGGCCTGCAGGCGTCTAGTTATGTAGTTGTACATATATATTTTTCTTTGGAGAAACTAAAGTTGAAATCATCAAGTCCATGACAGAGATGGGATTAGGTTTAACATGAATTATGAAGAGGAAATGAATGAATGTAAAGTCTAAACTATTAAGGATTTTGGGCTACTATATATACTAGGATAAGACCTGTGTCTTGCGCATGGTGAATATATATAACTAAAATATAAAATTTTAGTACTGGCAAATTTAAATTTATATATGATTGTTTTTATATGTATTTGAAATTTTAGAATTTTAGAATTTTGGAATTTTTATAGAATTATCTATACGTACGATCAGAAACAATTGTAATTAGAACTGTAGATCAAATCTTAAAAATTTAATGGACCCGATTTCATATATCTTTTCACTTTTCAGTGTTCGAGTGATGAAAAATAAACAGAGTGTCATTGGCCTTGATTGATAGAGTATTAGCAAACTCCCTAATGTTTTTTTAAGAAGCAGTTAGTAAAATATTTGCATTTAAAATATGTAAAGTTTCAAAACTGATTTAATATAATTTATTTATTTGTCTAATAATATTAGAAAATTATATTTTTTACAAATTATATTTTCAAAATAAGTTTATATAATATTAAGTTAAATTTTAAATCATTTTTAAAAACAATATTTTAAAATTTTCAAATACAAATAAACAATTTAAAATTAATTATGGTCATGATTTAACATAACCATAATGATTTAAAAATTAAAGAATTTAAAAATTAACAAATTAAAATTTAACTCAGTTTTATATCATGATTTAACAATTTAAAAATTAATTATGGTTATGAGAAGTTTACCTTCACGTGTTAATCCTATTTATCTTCAATTTTTTCTCTTGTTCTGTTTTTTACATTTTTGTTATTACTCGATATATGAAGTTTCTTCTCATTTCGTTTGTTTGTTTTTTTTACCTGAGATTTAGAAAATACTTAAGATTTAAAATAATTAAAGATATACATACTTAGGTTAAGATCTGCAATTTATGCACAATAAGTATTTTATATTTATTATTTATTTTATATTTTTATGCATATTATAAAATAATGAAATAATAGATATATATATTAAATAACTAAGAAATCAGTTACTATTATGTAATAAATTGGCGTATGCATATAAATTTAACTATCACTCTTGTTTATTCACAATTAGGATAAATAAATCAATATAATCAATCTTATATATTGTGTATGATTAATGTAATTGTGTATCAAAAAATCTAGATTTTTATTATATGATTAATGTAATTGTGTAATTTATTTTAATAATAAAGAAATAAACAAAATGAGAAAAACATATAGATTGTTATAAAATCTTTATTGTTTAAAATCATTAGTTGTCATATATATATTTTAATCACATTAGGTAATTCCGTAGGTATTATTTAAGGAAAGCATGCGAAACAATAAATATTTGATATATGTGACCAACTATAACCTACGCAATATTAAATTGCTAGAGAGTATAATTTTTAGACTATACATTATATCACATGCTCTAGAATCCTTGGGATTTGAAATAGAAGCCAAAGATTTATGCCACATAGGATTGAAGTTATTTTTAATTCTTACAAACTTAAGGTTACAATTTTTTAAATGATTCTCAATTAATATATAGGGGATTTTTGAATATTTTGGGTATCAGGTATTAGCCAATCAATCGGGTATCAAATTTCTTCTAATTCAATACCCATTCAGATATTTTTATAGATTGGATGGGTTTTTGGATTGGTTTAAGTAGCCAGTAAAATGCCCAGCCTTATGCCACACACCAAGTCTAGTTCCATCGTTCTTTCTTCCTTTTGTTGTAATTCTTGGCAAGGCCCAACTGATTTAGCCCATCCTTCACAACAATCGATTACCTAGTGAGCTATTAACTAGGAGACGAAGCGATTCATATTTTTATTCTCTCCTAACTTGGATGGCTTAATAGCTGTGTCTCTCTTTTTCGAGGCGACCCTGTGTTTTTGTGGGTATATACTTCTTAGTTTTGTCCTCTTTCTCTCTATTGCTAGGTTTTGTTTGTCGAGATTGTGATTTCATTTTTAAGGTTTACAAATTCGTGAGTGTACGTGATCAACAGTCACCGTCAAGAAGTATGGGGAGTCAAGTTGACAGCAAGTTCACTTGGGTGATTCATAACTTACCCTATTTTCATTCGGAGAGAATTTATTCCGACTCTTTCGAAATTGGTGGCTGCAATTGGTACGTAAGACTATAAGTCTATAATGGTTCTCTAGTGTTTACTTCCATTTAGTTGAACGTGTGTGATCACATATTCGTGTTGCTTTGGTTCTCGCTTGCAGGCGTCTTATTGCCTATCCCAAGAGCAAATGGCTTAACCGCTTGACTTTGGAAGTCGCTGACGCTGAATCCATTGCTATTGGATGGAGAAGGCTGGCAAACTTTTCCGTGACTATAGTAAATCAGGCTCTTGAAAAAATCTACCGACGACAAGGTCATTATTTCTGAGCTTGCTACTTTTTTTTTTGTTTCTTCTTGATCGTGGGGCCAGAGGTGGCCCTTGGGCCTTGGGCTAATATAAGCCAATGAAACTCATGTTTACGACCAATTTATTTATCAA